ATATTGCTTTTACTGGTGTTCATGACAATGTAGGCCATCCCCGGACGTGATAAATCTCTATGGTTTAGCTCGTCAACGTTTTTATTGGCCCGGCATGGAGGCAGATTTTAATAGTCGCAATTTCAGGTTGCAAAAAGTTGTATTTGCAGAAAGACACCGGTAGTACCTGCTGCAGAATTGGTTCCAATCCAGACTTCAAGACCCATGCAACTTGTGTGTATGGATTTCTTGAAGCTGGAGAAGTCCAAAGGAGGGTATGAGGACGTCTTGGTCATTACCGACCATTTTACCAGATACGCCAAGGCTAATTCCTTGCCGTAAATCAAAAGGCGACTACCACTGGCTCGTGCCTTATATGAACATTTTATTTGTCCACTATTCTTTTCCAGAGCAGCTGCATTCTGACCAAGGGGCGGAATTTTGAAAGTCGAGTCATCAAGGAACTTTGCAAGATTGCAAAATGTTCGAAAGACAAGAACCACTCCTTTCCACCCCTATGGGAAATCCATCAGCGGAACGATTTAATCGGACCCTTCTCAGAATGTTAGGTACTCTGGCAGAAGATCATAAATCTAAGTGGGCCAGATTTTGTTCCTTCTCTTGTTCAGGCTTATAACGCCACCAAGAACTCTTCTACAGGTTTTTCTCCTCACTTTCTTATGTTTGGATGGCATCCCCGTCTTTCTGTTGATGCCTATCTTGGTACTTTTCCTTCTAATTCTGAACATCCTTTCTCCTACTACTTATGTTTCTCGTTTGAAGGAACGCCTTCAGTATGCTTATCGGTTAGCTGGTGATGTTGCCAAGAAGCGGGCTGATCAAAACAAGAAGCAATATGACCGTAGAGTTCGCGAGAACAAATTGGTTGTAGGCGATATTGTTTTGGTCCGAAAAGTCAATCTTCAAGGGCGACAGAAGCTGGCAGATAAGTGGGAGAAGGATCCTTTTGTTATCATTGACATACCATTTCCTGACCAACCTGTATATAAAGTACAACTTGAGTCTCGAAAAGGTCCTGTCAGAACCCTTCACAGAAATATGCTTCTTCCATTTATTTCTATCCCTGAAGAAAATACAGATATACCTGTTGAAGTTAAGCCTAAACCAAAACCTAGACGTGTTCCTATACAGAAAGAGTATGATGCTGATTCTAGCTCTTCTGAATCATCATCTGGTGTATACATCATACCACAGAGGAGATTTCCAGTTACTCACAGTCGCAATACTCGTGTTGATTATGGACATTCTTCTGATGCTCCTTCTATTTCTATCCCTTCATTTGTTCCCAGGATTCACCCCAATCCTGCGACGTATTCCCCAGACAATGTCCCAGTTACTCCAGTAAGTGTTCCAGTTACTCCAGTAAGTGTTCCAGTTACTTCAGTAACTATCCCAGTTACTCCAGTAAGTGTTCCAGTTACTCCAGTAAGTGTTCCAGTTACTCCAGTAAAATGTACCAGTTACTCCAGTGAGTAGACCAAGTACTCCAGTGACTATTCCAGTCATTCCAGTATATACGCCCGTTTTATCTTCACGCCCTATCCCACGCCCAAGACTTGTGATACATCCATCGGATAGATATGGAGAATGGATATAATTATTGTATAATGTTGTTTCATTTTTTTGTGCAGTCCTTTTAAATTTCATATAGGTCCTATGTATGGAGGTATATACTATGTATTTATTATTTTTAAGTAGAATTGACAACTCTACTGTATTGCATTATTTTCTTTATATTTTTACTGTTTAACTATTGCAAAAATAGTTATAGGAGGGCAGTATATCTTAAATAATATGATATATTTATGTCGTCATATGAATATACAGTGTATTGCATTTTTGTTTTTCGAATTTATTATAATGTTATTTTTTTTCATAAATCCAGGTTTTCATTAATAATTGTTTAAGAAAATGCCGGTGTCATTTTTAACTAGAGGGGGAGTGTGTGTAGATAAGGTTAAATTAAGCCAAGTTCACTTTTTATAATATAGTACGGTAGTTTTTTTCCCTTAAAGGCCAAACCAAAATCTATTGTGGTGTTATGTGTTCATGTTTGTCTTTGTACCTTTTGTTATGAGTGATTGAACTGGTTTTGCAAGTTTAGTGATGGATGATTGGTTTTTGGTATGCAAGTTATTTTTAGATGATTTGGTTCTGGGATAGCTAATATTTTCTTGGTAACTGACCACTCCTTTCATTGCATTCAAGGCAATAACATCTCAGACATTCTAAAGATCTACTATTTCTTTATAGAAATATTGATAAGTTTTATCATTATTCATACAATTATTATTTTGAAGATCTCATCTATTTAAAGCCTGGTATGTATATATTTATTTTAATTGTAATTGTGAAATGTTTATAATGTCTATATTGTAATTATTGTAAATTATGAAATATGCACATGAATTTTCTATTGTATTATATTTCTCTTTGTTATTTGTATTATTATCATTTGATTTTGTTATAGGTTTCTTCTACACCTGAATAAATATATAAACATCATCAAAGTGTTTATTATTGAAGAAACCCCCCACTACATAAATTTGTTATCTTCAATTAAAAGACAGGATTAAGAGGCGTAATATTTGCAATGCACAGATACAGAGAAATTGCTAAGCATACACGTTCGCATTGTAAAATATAGTTTTTAACACTTCACACGTTTAGAAACTTGGCAACGAACGCCCAAGGACAACAGGTACAAATGCGAAAATTAAGAATTTGAATAAGTAGCTTAACACTTTATTATAGCATTATGCATATACTTAACTTGTTATAATTGTCATCGTGAATTGTTAAATATTAGCCCTGTGCGAAATTATTCATCATTTTTGTAAAAAAAATTGACACTTGAGAAAAAAATGTGACCATTCGAGTGTAAAAGAACTGAATGATGACGGACGATGGAGAAACAAAGACGATAAAAGTTCACCTTGAGCCAGCTTTTGTGAGCTAAATATTTCCTGAAAAGTCAAACTTGGAATTGACCTGAAACTTGCACGCGATTCATCGTCTTATTCTGAGCACTACAGATTTATGCGAAATGTCAACATTTTGCCTTTATGGCCATTTTCTGGGATCTGTACGGAATGAACACAGACATGTATCCTATCATGTCGCCTAAGTGGTCCAAAACGCAAGAACGCTGGAAAAACTATCTGCTTACCCTAAAATTAACCACGCCAAATCATGAAACGAAACAACTTTTATTTAAAATAATGTGCAACACAAACTGATTACAAAGAAAATAAAAAGAAATAACATGCATTTATATAATCAGATAAATAAGTATGTTTTGAGTACTAGACTGTATTCTAATAACAGAATTATCACATTCTTTGTGTCATCATTTCAATTGATTAAAAGTCAATGACAACAAGGCATACATGTATAATAGGTAAACGAGAGCTGTGGATTTTTCACTTCACCTGGTATAATGTAATTGATTTTAATACTCCTTGTGATTTTGTATACACAAGAATAAAAAACCGGTGTTAAACTGCCAACAGACTCTGGTTAGAGACTACATCTATATGCGGCTGTTATGTTTTTCTTCCTCGACGAAATAGTTTACAGTCTTTTTAAGGCAACAATAATAATGCACTTTTATTGATATTATCCGTTCTTATTATGTTTTCTTTTCATATGATGCTAATGTCACTAACGCCACATGGTTGATCCATATCCGTTCATAGATTATTTTTAGAAGACAAATCTGCGCAAGCTCGTAAACAGCGTAGTGATGTCATTTTCGGTATGCAATTCATTCATAAAGGCTACAGAATAACGTCATTTAAAACCGACTTGGGTAGGGGTGAGAAGAATGATAAATCAAGCACAGATGTAAATACAATACGATCTAGTCTGACGCAAATGTTTAAATTGTTCAAAACTTGATAAAATAATTCTTGAACAATAGGGTGAAACTTTTTTCTTCTTATTTGTTTGTTTAATATTTTTCCTTTACATAAGCGACAGTAGAGTGTTAAATAGAACAGCTTCATATGAAATGCGGTAGTAATCTCTGCTTGTAAAAATAGCGTTATTTAACTCCTTTATTTTGTCCTAATAGAATCGAAATACTATCGGTCTGAGTGTTGTTTATTGGCTATTTAATATCGGTTTTGTCGTTTTGATACGGCATTAAATGTCAATTCCTACGCATCAAAATTATATAAATGTGTTAATAACACTTTGAAAGTACATTCCTATGGAAGGTTTCCTTTTTTGCCGGTATTCTATCATCATAACCTGATCTAAATACAAAATGTTTTAAACAGATATTGTAATTTGAATTTTTTAACCATAAAATGACTTAAACTGTAATGTATCCACATACAACAACATATTATTGAAAACTAACACCAATACTGAAGTATTGAAATTTCATACTAAATATGTCCTAAAACAAATATTCTTTTAAGATCTGGCTACACTACATCAAGCGAAGTCCCTCCATCCCCCAAAAAGATATAACAGATAATCAAAGCAAGCAGAAAAAAAAAGCAAAATAAAATCAAAAGAACAAAATAGAACAAGATAATTAGTATAATTGTAGAACAATATGGCACTTTATCAATATGTATTATAAATGTTGTTAAATAATCAATTTAAAAGCAGCAAAACAAATCTTTATCAAACAGACACTGATTAAATAAAGTTATAATATATCACATTAAAATAATTAAAGAATAAAAAAACACACACAAACACACACAAAAAATATTTATAACTAAACTACTGGTTAAACTAATTTGAATAAGAAATAAAGTATTTTTACTACACGCATATTTGTCACAATTTTTCATCACATTTTCATTAAAAGACCGCACATATGTCAAAAACTGTATTTGTAATCATCTTAATATATTACTTTCATAACAGGGATCATGTTGATAGGAATAGTTAGTTTATCGTATCACAGGCTTCCCTAATAAAATTGCAATAAAATGTCATAATTTATGTTGGAAACTTTTGAAAACTGTCACTGACACAGTTTATCTGAACCTTCTTGAGTTCCCTGTCTGTTTCTCAATCAACATGTTGTAGGTTCTAACCCAGGTTTGTACACTGTGTTTATAAAGGATCTCTTTGGGGAAGTCGGCCAGCACAGCTAGATCTAGGGTAGGATTGTCCATACCTTCTATATAACCCTTCAACCATTCACCTAGTCTGTTATAAACAAATATAGGACAAATACATTAATACAAAGATGAACAAGGATGTTTGAAAAATATTCTTAATTAATATCTAATTTAATATCAAAGTTTAAATTGACATTCAATAAGAATATCAACAACTGAACAAATGTATTACAAAAAAAGTACTTCAGGACCATTAATCAAATAAGATGAAAAGCCTAGCACAATGCCAAACAGAGATGAAGGGCCAAGTAACGAACAAAGTAAGAATTATTTTAATACCACGCAAAGTGTCTTAACATGTATGTAATTAACCAAGTATCACTCACATTCTCTGTTGTGAGCTCTAAAAATTTCTGAGCAGAAAATATGAAAAACAAAATCAACAAAGAAGGGCGGCATTCAATGAAGGCACCACCGGCAAGAAGCCCCACAGGACAAAGGAAACCAAAGAAACATACAAGGCAATTAAAGATAAAAATTAATAAAAAAAATCTACAGAAGAACTAGGATGTAGGGGAAGGGGGCAGAAACACGGGGTGGTTGTAGACATGAAACAAATCAAGAAGGAAAGGGAGATACCGTATACGTAAAAGACACAAGAGACACAAAAGTTTCACCACAATTGTATGACAAAGTAAACAAGACATACATCTGAGAAACACAGAGGGGCGCCTCATTGGAACGGTTAGCAGTATAAGCAAAATATGGGGAGTTTAAAACGGGTTATTTTGCACCAAACCTCACTCACATGTTCCTTTTAAACGAGACGATATAAATTAAGTATTGGAACCAATGAAGGACTAATATACTTAAACAACACTGAAATAAAGTATGAATATGTGTGTTCATGATGTATAGATTTCTGTCCATAGGTAATGAATGATGCCCCTCATTTTATGAAATATGTAACGAACTTGTAATTTAACTAATTATTACAAATTACAGATATCTAATAAACTTTTAATACCTATTACTAAATGTTTCAATGTAATCCTCGTCTGTTGAATTCTGTCTCACAGCCACAACTAATAGAATATATTCATGCAAGACTTCCAACAATTGAGTCAGCTTTTCTACTGATAATTTTTTCATGTATGCCCAATATTCATTTGTCAATTCATCTGGTAGTTCTTGGTGGAACTCTTGTTCAAGACTCTCAAAAGTAGACTGCAAAATACAGATGGTACATTAAAATGTTTCTACACATTAAAAGTGGGAAATCATTTACGCGAATGCAACAAAAACTATTCCACAAATTAGAACAACTTAAAATGGAATCCAATCGTATGTATTATGTATTATTTCCAGAAGATTATTATAAACGAAAAATGTTTTATATTTACTAATTTTAAGACGATCACAAAAGGATCAATAATATTGGAAACATATATTAGCAGATTATAAACCTCTGTGTGTTGATTATTTCCAATCATCTTTTTTGATTTCTGTAGTGACAGCAGTAACCATAGTGACTGTGCATGTCTTAATTCACACGCCTGCTGGGCCTACAAACAAATGTTAAAATATATATTTTAAACCCCACTTATAATCAGTATGACATTTTGAAAGCTTTTAAAATACAGGAATCACGTTACATCATTTACCTATTTCCAATTTTTTAAGCATGGTGCAATTGATCAAATAATACAAATGAAAGGAATGTATTACAAGCACTGAAAATGTTTAACAAAGTCTTGTGAAAATAAAAAAAAAACGAACATATTTACAACAAATACTATTTTTTTTATGACTTATGTATTGCTATTTTCTGCTCAGCACTTTTGTAGACAAATGTATCAATAAAACATCTAAGAACAAGTTTCATTATCCTTTTTTCATACATTTAAAAATATTATATTTCTAATTATTTATAGTTGTAGCAAGTAGTCAAAATATGAAATAATATAGATTCAATAAAAACATCTAAGAACAATTTTCATTATCTTTTTTCAAACATTTAACGAAATATTATATTTTAGATTATTTATAATTGTATCAAGTAGTCAAAATATGAAATAATATAAATTCCCCTTCTGGCTTAGTAGGGGGTATTTTCCCCTTTTTAAGTGTTTTTCCATAAATTTTATTTAAAAGGGTTTTATCGGGTTTTGCCCCTCCTGTAGACTTGAGAAAACTTATTGTAATGTCCAGATTGTCTAGTGATGTACATAGATCAGGAAGGTTCTTTATTTCACTGCATATTTGATTCTTTGTGACAGCACTAAGTCTCTCCTGAATATCAATAGTAGAATAATCTGTTCTGCTCTACTATACAATAATTGTTATAACTATGTAAAAACTTGAAAATACTTGTATATGTCGAAATAATAGTTTCTGGTTTAGCAAACATTTTAAGAATAAGATAGTATGAGCTTGTTTTTTTACAATCAAATCTATGCAGGGTTTTGTTTTATAGAGTTCTTGACTTTATATTAACTTTATATCTTCTTACATTGACTGGATTGGTTTATTATTGTTATTTCTCGTCCTTGACATATTAGAACAATTCCAAATCACTAATAAATTAGATGTTACTAGGAAAGATATGTTTGCTATCATTAAACATCTCTTGTGTACTTACCTGTGGAATCTTGTCAGCAAGTTTTTTGAATACTTCAGCATTGGTAAACTCTGTCCTGTATGTCATCTGGTCAATCTGAAATATATCTCACAGTGTTGATATAAATTTGTATCATAAATCAACGGTTATATATTCAGTGAAAATAAATTATTTATTAATTTAAAAAAATTATAAACACTATATATGTGTGTGTAACAGTATCTGTGGCCACATTAAACTTGTACAGCCTACTTTTGTGAAACTGTTCTATGCCTATTGCTTTTAAGTTTGCAGATATTGATATGTTTATAAAATATATTGTATATTATGTTTCTGTTGATATAACAGAAATGGTCATAACAAACATTTTTGCACTAATTTGTTTTGCCAATTAAGCTTTTCAGAATGCTATGAGCCAAGAGTTGTCAGGTAAAACGCATGGTCTTATCGGGATGAACATTCGTACATAGTTATTTCAGAATTTTCATCTTATGATAATCATAATCCTAACAGACAGACTAACATCTAACATAAAACTGTCACTTGTGGTGATTAAACTAAATTAGATCTCACATGGTTTTGTTTTGGCAATCATGGTAACTATTAAGATGACTTATTACTTGAAGAATATTGAACAATCAAATTATTCAACTCCCGACCATTCCAAACACAATTATGTCCGTTCAAATCAGTATTGAATTCCAAGCGATGAAAAACTTAGCACTTACGTTGACTCTATGAAACTTTATCATGTGATAAATTACGTTTCTAGAAACTTATCTGATTAAAAAATAAATAAATAAATACAAAACACAGAAATCACAGATATCAATATGTCTTACATCCATAGATATTTGGCAATTTCTATAAGAAATAAACTGATATAAGACTCTCACCATTAGCACTCTCCCAACTTCAATTCTTGACTTTGAAAACAAGAATCTGTCCATCAATTGTCTCTCTAAGGCAGCAAAGTCATACTCTATCTTTGTCCCTTTACCCATCTCAAATGAATACTGGCAGTTAGCAAGCACTAAAGGTAAAATGTCGTGCTGGGGGTCGTAGCTGATTAGATGTGCTGAAGTCACCTCTTTGGGGTTCACACTGGATATACTACTTTGCTTTCTATAAGAAAAGAAACACGGTTATACGAGTACTACAATGTAACTTTGATTTTAAAACAGACAAATTAACTTCATTAAGATCTTGTGTTTATAACTGTAACAATTAAAATATAAAATGGAATTGAAAAACTGAATACATTTTCAAAGTAAAAATTTCATAATCTAGAGTTTAAGTTTGAGTGTAATTGTGCAGCAAAAGAATTACATAGCAAAATTAACCATTTGCTTCTATATAAAATGATTATTCAAAGAATCAATTTATGATAGGACAGCAAACTTTCAATAACTTTTATAAAAAATATATCTAATAAGCTGTTTACAAACATTTAACCTTTTCCCTTATGAGCATATTGTAAAATGTGGCCGTTTTCATTGAAAAGCCTCCTGTTACAAGTTCAAACTACTATGAAACTATGAAAAATGCTTCAATACTGATGAAACTTCTCACAAATATTGACTGGACCATAATCTGTAAGATAATGCTCAATCTTAAATTTTCTGTTACCATGGCACCGAGGGGGTGTCTCAAAATTGCCAAAATCACTCTTCTCCCTTGTTTTTTCAACATGTTCAATCAAAACTGATTTCAAAGTGCTGCAACTTCTCAATGGATTGAGATAGAGTCAAAGGCTAAAGTTTCAACGTTGACTACAAATTACATTATGATCGCCCTGGGGTCATTTTTAGCCTCTCACAAGTCAAAAATTTTCTTCGCAATGAGGGGGAATGCCGCCCCCCTTCAAACCCCCTAAACAGAAGGGGGCACATCCCCCTTCTGGGAACCCCCTAATATACCTTTATGATGGGGGACGGCACCGAAGAAGTGGTAACTTTTTTTAACAACATTTCTCAAAAGAGAAACGGTGTTTGGGGCCTACATAGGGCATGTTTACACTGTTTGAGGCCTCAGAAAGGAAGGGGGCGCAAAGCCGTCAAAACACGCTTATATGAGGGAAAAGGTTAACCGTCTCAACCAATAATAACATTTACCTGGATAACTTTCATAAAAGAAGTATCAAATGACACAAGATGTCAGATTGTTTTGATCATAAGTTATAATGAAATAATGATTCATTTTTGTTTTCAAATTCTTCTTCCCTTTTCACCCCAAAAAAATTTAAAAATTAAAAATTTGAAATGAAAAAAAAACATATTTCATGGCCATTAAGGGGCCAACACTAACAAAAATTTTAATGATGACAAAAATTTAAATTCTGTTAACCCCAATTTTTCACAGTAAATAACTAAAAGGTTTGGGTTTTGTAGTTTTTTAAGGTATTTTAACCTCAAAACTTTGGATGGGGGTTTAGGGGCTTGTTTAGATAAAAAAGGGTTTGAGTAAATGTAAAACAAGATACAAAGCAAAATATAAAGTGTTTAGAAAAAACTAAACTGAAAATAATTTGTATGAAGTAAAAGAAGATTTTACATAAGGCATTGCCAACCTAGTATTGTACAAATTTGTTATACAAAAATATATGTATTGTTTATAAGTTACTTAAAATAAGAATGGCTGTATGATAAATCGCAAACCTTTGTGTTTCCTTTAAGTATTTATCTAGAAAGTCATTCTGTTTTCTCATCAAGAAATCTAACATTGCATATGAGCAGAGGCCTGCTTCTTTTGTGGTAGGTAGAAGCAATGATATTTGTGTTTTGTCATTGATGGTTTGTTGACAATACTCCTTTTGTACAGTCATAGGACCAAGTTCTGTAGGACACGCTGTAAAAGAACAAGGAAGTTCATTACTACATGATCAATCTTAACAATGATAGATGTTGAATTTGCGATCATCATTTAAGTTGGAGCCATATTTATAAGTTGTTTACATATAAAGTTTCTCATTCGTGCATGCACTAAGTCAATAGTCTCTATAAACTGATATAAATTAGGGTCAACTCATGGTATAAGTGAATACTCATTTGTCACAAGTAAACAACAACTTATTTAGCTCCTTTATTCAATAAATTCAGACAGTGGCCAATACCTGGTAAAACCCCTTTCTTACAATATATAAGCTAGACGATAGCTTCCCTACGTAACGAATATTTATAATTTTTGTGATGTGAACCATAGAGACAAGTTATTTGAAGTCACACATTTTTTGTCACTCTACCATAGTGACTACTATAAATAAATAAAACTATCATACATTATCAAAAGTTGTCAATCATAAATAACAACGATCTTTAACTGATGTAAGACAGCAAACAACTCACTATATAAAGCCAATGACTCCCTCACTAACTCCCAGGCAGCTGTAAAATCTTGTAATAATTGCAATGTTTCACCACCAGCTATTTCCTCTGTAATGAATGTAATGAACAATATAAATAGTATTCTACTGTCAATTGAATCAACTGGATGCATCAATCATGTATTATCATTTAGTGCTAACTTTTATTCTATTCAAATTTCAATAACTGTAAACGCATTTTTGCACTTTTGTCTGCATGTTAATGGCAATATTTATGTTTGTGTTTCTAACAAATAGTTACTTTAGAAATTTCTAAGAAATTGCAATAAAGTCAATCAATAACTACCATTTTTACAATATTGACATAATGATGCCCAAACAAATTGTGAATTAGATCTGTATAATTAATACTCATTTGAGTTTAAAAATAAAAACTTTTGTTACACCAAGCTACTAATCATTCTGCACAATTTTGTTTAGAATGCGATAAGAGTCCTGCTATTTATCTGACTAAATACTAAATAATATATACCATAAGAAATTTCTTACCTTACATTTAATAATGTGCACTTAACATAACATACCTCTTTTCAATTGAGCAACATTTATTTGTGACGCCTCAGCTTTGTCTAGTTTTCTCTGATACTTTTGAAACAGAGCTCGATGTAGACGTAAAATACTTGGAATGTAGCGAATAGCTCTTAGATGATGATCCTGAAAGATAATTTAAATTTTATACATCAGTTTTAACAAAGGCAATATTAAGAATGTAGTAACAAAGCCGGTGTTTGAACATGATGTTCTCTCTATCTCACCACTTATACTAATCTGGCTTTAAGCAGTTTTAGTTATCAGTTTACAACTAAAATGGAATGGCCAGACAGACAGCACACTTACTATCCTCTTGACATTGATTTATTATAAGTAAAAAGCAACAGCAGTGGCCTATAATTTTGACAGAAGACATACGTAATGTTTCAAAGAAACGCCTGCAGCAAAGGTGAAGAGAAAACTTAAATGCAATACGAAATGTCATTCACAAAGGTGTATAGTTTTGTTAAATGCAGAGCAGTTATATTTCTCGGTTGAACCAACGCCAAGATGAGTAGGACAATATTCTTTAAGGCTTAATATTAAGCTTTATGCTCATATAGATAGAAGTTGATATTACATCTGCAAATAGCCATGCTTTAACTGATGCATAAAACGTCTTAAACTGCATATAGAATAAGCAGATAACAAGGCAGGTAGAATAATCTTGATATATGACATATTTTATTAATCTACCTCTTTGAGAAAGAGTTGTAGAACTTTATGCTGTTGTTGAGATACTTTAGCTTCAACTTCTTGTCTAAGATGTTGTAGAGATATAGGTGTTCTATAACGCCAGACTCTTGGAATGTCTTCAAGAATTGCTGGATTCTCTCTCTCAACATTGGTGTCTGTCTCATACAGTAGACAGAGTAGAGGGTCTGCTCCTGTAACAGTTAAACATCTTATATGTACTTTATATTCGAAATTTAGTAAATAGCAATTAAGAGAATATGCCATAAAATGGAATATACAGGTAAGGAAAGTATACCTACATTTACTAATCCACTTACTGAATTATATTAAACAGTACTGTTTATACATATTAAGTTCACATAAGTAATTAGGAATGTTTTAGTTTTGATAGCAACAAAAATTAATTCAGTTCAGTTAGAACTGAATCAAGGACTTAGCTTACCTAGTCTCTGATCTTGTGCTATATCTTGGTTACATGCCTTTAAATTATTGTCAAGGTTCTGAAAAAAAAACAGCATCACAAATTTGAAATATAACAAAATGACAGAATAGAATGCAAGATAAGTCAGAAAAAGTAATGTTATTAAATTGAATTTTAATTTATTATAATAAACAAAAGAATTTAAAGCCAGACCAATGCAACTATGTAATGAAATGTAACCCAATTTATTCAGTGCGGTAAGGTAAAACTATCTAAAACAATATTGACTATATCAACTAAAATAATTTATGTGACATAAGGAAAAGTATCTCACCTGTAAAGATACTCGCAAAAAGTTTTCAGAGAAAGCAATTTCCCATTTACGTCTTCCCTCCTTGGTTGAAAGTTGGCTTATGTCTTGAGTAACATGTGTACCTAAATGAACAGTTTGAAGAAAAAAAAAACTGACAAAAATCTGTTTAAACTTTAAAACATCTTTGCAGTTTATTATATCTATAAAAACATTTTAGACTTGTTTACATAAAATATCCCAAATATGAATACACAGTACAATATAAAATAAAAAAATCATTGTTTCACAAAATTGGTTTGTTTTTTGTTACATGTGTTTTTGCTGGGGAATCTAAATATTAAATGGGACAACATATTTGAGTGTTTTAAGTGCGACTTCCAAAAACTTGCAACTCACTACTGAAAGTTCAATTCCCGCCTGAGGTTATGGATTCTTTCAGGTGATATATGCAGCTCCCTATATGACCTTTACAACAGTGTCAATGTGATAAAACACCCCCTAAATAAATCTTAGATCTAAACTATATACAAGCCATCAATATAGAGTAAGTATATGTAATTAGCTGAGCTGATATATTTTAAATTACACAACAACAAATGAAATCCTCAGGACATAATAACAAACAACAAATAATTAGGACAGACCATCATTGTGTATTCTCATAATTTGATTGACAATAGTATGCATCAATAACAATGCGTCATCTATGCTTCTACCAAGGGTTCTTTGTAGATCATCTATATCCAGGTTTATATGAGCCCATAAAAACTCAACAACATTGTTCACATCTATATCTGGTCTGATCAATCTCTGTATAGCCTATACATTTCCGAAAGAAAGAAAAAATGTTGTTTAAGCAAACATAAACAAATTTTGTTTTTTGCATTATATTTTGTCAAATTCAAAGATAAAACAACTGGTGATAACATAAATCTGACATAACATTTCAAGATTAGGGATTATAACTTTACAGCAAAACTCCCCTATTCTAAATGTAAGCATCATCGGTATTAAAATTATTTAATGGGTCTGCCAACTGTCTGCCTGAATAATGTTGATGCCTTTATAAGCCATGTTTAATACAAATGATAACAGTTCATACAATCAAGAACTTGAGTACCGTAGTTAATATCTTTCTTCAGAGATGCATGTTTATACAGACCTTTAGTTGGGGTAGAAATAATATTCATCTTGTGAACATAAACCATTAGAAACTCTAATATTGAAAATATTTAACAGTTTTTCCAGTATTTACATCGAAGGCTTTTCACATTCCAATAACCGATACTAATATTTTAAACAAATGACATTAAACTTCTACATAATCTCAACATGGGCAAAATCAAGAATATAAATTGATGAACCCTGTGCTACACCTGAAACCAGATCAAACATTTATAGTTGTTGATTTACACCGGATTATGGTCATATGTACCTGTTGATTTACACCGGACCCAATATACATTGCCATGTGTAGTAGAAGTCTAACTGCAGCACAGTATGTAGGTGAAAGTGTCCTCTCTGGCTTAGGACCTGGCCCCCTAGTTGCAGCACGGCCGAGAATATGGCCTGTCTTTGTGTTATCATTACTAGGAAATCAAAAACAAAGAAATTTGCTAATTATGACCTGTCCATACTCAAACATTTTTAATTAAATTTCAAACACCAATTAAGCCAAAAAAAATACTTACCGTAAGGGTTTATTTCTAAAAATATTTGTTTTCAAATTCAGAGTTAAAACTTATTATCATTGCACATATGATAGAACCAACAATCTGATTTACATAAACCCTTAAGTAACGCTTCACATTACCACATATAAGATTGAAATAGATCAGAATTTATGTCACATTGGCATCGATTTGCTAATTATGCTTTTGAAACTTAGTACAGTTATTGGAGTGTTAAGCACTGAAGTCAAAATACCACTTTGTATACATTTTTCTACTTTCATGACAATCATTTCACACTCATTGCTACTTTCTTCATGTGATAAATAATTACCGTTAGGAAATATGAAGCTTTGGCAAAACAACAGTGAATTCTATGACAATAAATGTTCTCATGCTCATAAGAGTTCAAAGAAAAAAAACTGAAATTTGTTTACTTCGTTGAGTATATTTAATACTTATTTAAAATGAGACAATTCGAAATGTGTTACTTTTAAGAGTATATGTTTCCATACCTATTCAAAATAAACAAATTGATAAATTTATGATAAATATTATACGAATATGAACAATTAAATTAATTCAGATATCGACATAAGGAGTTGCCAATCAGGGAAAGGCATTTCAAAGCTATTTATAGATAACAATGTATAATATAACAAAATGAAATATGTAATGGCTTCATTTCTTTGAAAAAGGCAATCCCAGGCAATAAGAGACATAGAGATAAGATATACATTTTGTATTTTTTCAAGGTTATATTTCATTAAACATTTTTGGAAACACTCTTAATATGGAAACAGTATTCGTATGCTACGGAACACTACAAAAATATAACAACCAAATTCGTTAAATTGATATTCACATTTGAATTATTCAATCAATTAACTGATGTGTCCTGGTTTTATGTATCTATGTAATATCTAATATATATTCAAATGTTACAAGGTACTGCTCCTATGCATTGTAGTATATTTTATGTTTTCATGACAATTTAATATGGCTACATAAAATACTTTTGGACTTAAGTAGAGGTCCACTTGGCAATGCTACATGCCAAACATCTATGCTCTCTGAACCGCTGTTCAGGTACAAGTCTTATATACCCGAATGACATGTTTAATATTACTTCTGTGAAGGTCCAATAGGCACTTGGGCAATATCACATGTGACCTTCTTATGCATATGATAAGAACTATCAAAATAACTTTTCTAGTGGGCAAAATATGGATCGTTCCTGTGAATTTAGGTCAAAATGCACCAAATAAATTAGACAATGTTGTTTAGAAGAGGTGGATAACATCGAACGTTGACATACTGACATTTTAAACGTTTCGCTTCTGAGCACTTTGTGTTCAGGTGAGCTTAAAATTTGTTTATATGTAAGCACAAAAGTGTTCAGGATGGGCAGTAAAACATTATTGTTAAACCCACCAAGTGTCTAGTTTATTAGTCGGAAGCAAATTGTTAATATGTCCTCCTATTTTCGCCCTATTAGGCACCTGGCTATTCCACACTACTCACATGATATTGTTTTGATATACAAACTTTAAGGCAGAATGTTGATGTAAGATCGCATCGTGTGTGGTACATATGATTTGGTCATTTCATTATATTTCTTCAGGGATAACATCATGGTTGAAGTACATGCTTATAATATCATTTGTTTAGCACTGACAATATTTGACATTCTTTTCTCACAGAAATGACAAAACATATATCAACACTTGTAAAGATGCTAAACTGACTTAGAAATATACTTCACACATCAGCCCTCACCCCATTTTACATCAAGACTCAAAATGATAATGATGAAACATAATACATGTAGTACCAAACAAAAATAGTAGCCACTGACCTATTGTCTTTAATGTTGCCTGGTTTCGGAATGTGATTGTCACCACCAATAACTGCACCACAAGTAGGGCAATTGGTAACAAATGTTGGTCGTCCACACTATATCAAGCAAAATAGTATAGTCAGAAAACCTTATTGTCTTTAAATAATATTGTTACTGGAAGCACACTTAAATCTTTATTATTTATTAAAATATAGAAAAATATAAAATATAATATTTTACATGCTCTACTTTATACAAGTTGTTACAATAATATGGGCTTTTTCTCTGGAACAAATATTTTTGTAAGACTCCATGTAGATATGCACACAAAGAATGCCCATTTCTTGATGTTTCATTCTCACAAAAACTCTGTTTCGAACTGCTGATTTATTGTACGTGTAAATACTGTCATTTATAGCGCACATATATTTTATCATTCCAGAACCCATCGGATATATAAATATTTAGACAATTGGACATCTATATATTTACTGCACAAAATATTATACTTTGCAACCATATAATTATTATCATGTCAGTTGAAGGAATTATAAGAACTACCGTCCACGATACAGGCCAAGATATTACGATTATTCACCGACACAAAATCAGTAACTGTCAGTTTACCTTCTATAATTATTTCTGTATGAAAAGTAAGCATCTATGACTATAAGGAAATATGTGTTGTTCTTAGCTCCACATAGATAAAGCAAAATATGAGATTGTAATAGTAAATGAACTTAATATTGCTGTAGCACATACTCTTATTCTAAAATCCGCCATTATTATGTATCATACTGTTAAAACTCACCGAAAATTATTGTTTTGCAATATGCTTGACCGTCTTATAATATAAGGTAGTTAGAAGTTTGCCAAAACTGTCATTTTCAGATTCAGTTACAATTTTGTATTTCACAAATGCATAGAAACACCTCCACAGAGTTTACTAGAAATGTGTCCATAGGACACGGGTGCCCACACACTCCACTGTTTTGCCAATCTTATGACTCTAGGTCAAATATGTTTTGGCTACATGTGCCACAAGTTGAAAACTAAAAATCTTTTACTAAGTAAAGGGCAAGAACTTTACAAATACTGAATAAATCCACAAGCGATATCGCTAAGGGCATAAGTACACATGCTGACCATCATTCTTGTAAACTTTCAGGCCTACCGGTCAAATACTTTTTTGCAAATTGCAAATTTATACTAAGTCAAGGGAAATAACTCTAACTAAACTGAAAAAATCAACATGCAGTTACCAGAATAACTCTGACAAAACATACCAGGTAATAAAACCACAAGCAAAACCCTAGGTGCACAACTTCACATGCTGATCTCTAACAATAGAAATTAATTACTCTAACAATACTAAATATATCCACACTAAAATACCTAGATGCACAACTACACATCAACATTCCTGTAAAGTTTCATGACTCTAGTTCAAATACTTTTTGATTTACATGTGACACAAGTTGAAAATTGCAAATTTTTACTACGTCAAGAGCAATAATTCTAAAAATACTAAATATATTGACACAAAAATACCCAGGTGCACAACTACATATGCTGATCAACATTTTTGTAAAGTTTCATGACTTTAGGTCAAATACCTCTTGAGCTTCATGCGACACAAGTTGAAAATTGCAAAGTTTTACTATCTTAAGGGCAATAACTCTAAAAATTAAAAATATATCCACAAGAAAATACCCAGGTGCACAACTACACATGCTGATCAACATTTCTGTAAAAATTCATGACGTTAGGTCAAATACTGTTTGATCTACGTTTGACACAAAATGAGAACGAAGGACGGATGGATGTACGGACAGACAGACGGACAAGGGTAAATCTAAATCCCCTCCCCCTAAAGTGGGGGCACGAAAAGTAACAAATGGTAAGTTAACGATATGTTAACATGTCAGTTAGTCAGTTTAAAACCTAAATCAGACCATATTAAATTTTACTTCTTTTTAAATAATTTATACTTACATCACCGACAACGTACACATGACCATTGGGGCATCCTGTAACAAAAGTCAGGCTATATAAAATTCTTGTAAGTAATCTGTCTGAAAATTATATAGATTTTATCATATTATCTTATAACTAGTATATTTTTTTTTCAAAAAAAATTCTTACTCATTCATTTATTTGAAAAATGTATTATAATGAACAGAAAGATCTTTTTTATATAGATATTCTGAATCACATTAATCAGCCTTAATTAATCTTACTATAAAACACAGGGTTACTATCTGCTCCTCTCACTTGATTCCTGGCAGCTAACAAAGCCTCTTTTACATCTTCAAGGTCATCTTGGGGCATGGTGGGTAAATATGAATTCTGTTACAAAAAAGGTACTTAATATCAACCTAACTTCCCAATAAGAAATTGTCACAACTTACTTTTCGAGACTTTTATGATTACCTGCTGAATAATCAACTCCAAATGCCATGCAATTAAGCTCTGCGATTGAAAATTAGATACCAACATTTTTTCGTTTCCTCTGAAACCAATTGTATAAATTAATTCCTTGTAAAGTAAGTAAAGTTAAGAAAAGATTAATAACTGTCATGTCCTCCAAAAATGTAAGCGACACGACCAGGAGCGAGCTGCGACGTGGCCTCAGGAAACAACCCTCCAACAGAAGCTTTATGGTGATGTTGAGGACCTAAGACGGACCACATCCTTCATCGTTGATACTGGCGTAGTCGTGTAATTGCGAATGCAAGTAAGTAAGTAAGTAATAACTGTCATAAAATTTCATAACCTGGAGATGAGGGTGCCCCTTTTTGTGTTCAAGTTTAAGAACCTTACATTGTCCGCCAGGAATATACAGTTTGCAACATTTTAACAATACAATTACTGGTAGTTTTCAAAAATAACACAAACAAAAAAAATTTCATTTAGCATTTTTTGCATGTAAAATTTACATCTCCATTCATAACAGCAGTTATTCATATTTTTCTCAAAACAAATGCAATTTTCTTAATTCAAGGGACTGTAAAATGACATTTTCTAGCTACAATACATTTCACGGTACCTGTACCATGTGAGATTTTACGATATGCGTGGATCAAGAAACAAATATCCCGGAACAACCAAAATTCAATCAGTTAAGCTCTTTCTGGCTAATAATAAAAGTAAGGGCAAATTATACTTTAAATTTATTTTAGCTATTAATGCACCTATTAACGTTTATTTATTTTAAGGTTGGTACATTTTCAACAGGTCTTGAACTTTCTTTGAAAACAATAAAAACGATATGACCCACTTGGGTCACTCATAGGAATATTTTAACATAAATTCAAACAGCAGGGTAATCATCACTGAAGAATTTATTCAAGATAAATCAGGGCTACTAAAATTGTAGAAAATTTCACAACAATCTATTCAACGATTTTCAACAGTTTTTTCAAGAGTTTTAAAAACCTACACTAAATTTAATAACATATGTACAGTGCAATGCATTGGTATATGTATAAAAAGTGCAGTTAAAGGTTTCACCTCTTAGTATGCTTTTTGGGGTGTAAAATAATAAATGCATCCAACCATTACAGCCATTTTACCTTCCCCATTTTATAATATTACCAAATATTGAATCTTGTATAGATATGCCAGGTGGTATCGCTTACAAAAGATTTATTCTACAATCATCAAATGAAATAAACTTGATAACAATTTAAGAATTTATTACTAAGGACCCCAACGTAAAGTCTGATGAATATTTAGTGGTACATATATAAATAAATGTTTTAAATACACCCAAGACTGAGGTAAATGGTAATACTTTTTTTTAAACAAGTGCTATTTTGATATAGTTAAAGTATGAAAATTTACATTGTTTCATGTAAAACGGTTTTTCTGATCACATCTGACAGTAAATCAAGAATAGCATTTCTACAGGAGTGGAAGTTAACACAACATATGACTTTATGCAAATAAATCTGACATGACATCAGCGCTGCAGCATTAAGAATGTATTTGAATTTAGGTTGTGATTGAAAATTAGTTGTTTCGGAATACAATAAAAAAAAACGCGGGTTCATTTCCTTCCTCAACTTTTTAAATATTTGATTTTCTTAATACCTTCAAACTCCAGATCATAGAATGATACAGGAAAACAAATAGTAAATTGACGAAACTATTTGAACGATCACTTGGTTTCATTTTTCGAAAAAGTCATGATTTATTACTCAAAAGCATTTTACGTGTTGGTTCCTCACTAAAATGAGCTAGATTATTAAATTAATTATATATCAAAAATGTTATGGCAGAAAATGAAACATGAACCGTCTTTTGTATTGTTCTTTTTCCATTATTCAGATCATTTAATGTCAAGTTAAAACCCTGTGAATTCGATACAAAAGAAATGCAAAGAAAGAGATATAACTTACAGTATAGTTCTGTGGATTTGTCATCATGGCAATCAAAGGCTGCAACAAAGTACCTGCCCCATTAAAACGTGACATCACACAAAGGTAGTGTACAATGAGGCACTGTAGCCCTTGTGAGCGTAAATTCGCACCCTCAATGACTGCTAAATGTCTGGGAACAAGCTGGTTCATCATCATGGCATTCACCAATGCCTGTAAATAGATTAAAAGTAAATAAGTGAAACATCATGGTTTACCATACGTCTGGTGAATTCCATAATGTTAAGATAAGTTTTAGGCTATAAAGTAATAAAAAAGATCCCAGTTTTATATTAATGAATGTAGTGCCAAATTATAACAATTAATTCTCAAATTGGTCTTCTGACTTAAAATTCACTCACTTGCTAACAAGAGGGTCATGTTGGCTTAACATCGCTCACCTAAATATTTATACTCTTAATGACACGGAACAAGTAAATATTGTTAACTGTCAACGACAGCAGATATAAAATCTTATCCTTAAACTGATATCGCAAAGTTTATATTTGTTTCTGAAATAGTGCACATATAAAAACATAACCGATTTTATTACCAAAGGCAAACAACAGTTACATAAGAAGTCACCGATTGCTATACAAAATAAATGGTTACCTTTGAAGGCTGCTATTAAAATCAATGGTAGATTCACTCATTGTCATGGAATGTTAATGTTTACAAGTCAAGTCTTTGGTCTTTATAAACAAGAGGACCATGATGGCCCTGAAGTCGCTCACCTGTATATAGCCCCCCCCCCCGGAGCGGGGCCAGTTTTAACCCCAGGGCTTTTATTTGAACAAATTTGGTAGACACCCATTAGAAGATGTTTCATGCTAAACATCTAAGGTCTTGCTCGTTGGGTTTTTTAAAAAAAGATATTTTAAGTTTTTTCTTTACACATAAAAATTATATTTAAAAACACCCCTGGGGCTGGGCCAGCTTTGACCCCAGGGCTTTTATTTGAACAATCTTTGTAGACACTTACTAGAAGATGTTTCATGCTTAATATCTAAACTCTAGCTATTCGGACTTTTCGAAGAAGATTTTATGTTTTTGTTATACACATTTAAGGAAAATCAATGTCCCCCGGGGCGAGGCCAATTTTGACCCTAGGGCTCTTATTTGAACAAACTTGGTAGACATCTATTAGAACATGTTTCATGCTAAATATCGTAGCTCTATCTCTTTGGGTTCTTTAAAAGAAGATTTTTAAGTTTTTACTATATTCATATAGGAAAAATCAATGACCCCCTGGGGCGGGGCCAATTTTGACCCCAGGGCTCTTATTTGAACAAACTTGGTAGACATCCATTAGAACATGTTTCATGCTAAATATCTTAGCTCTAGCTCTTTGGGTTCTTTAAAAGTTTACTATATGCATATAGGAAAAATCAATGACCCCTTGGGGCGGGGCCAATTTTGACCCAAGGGCTTTTATTTGAACAGACTTGGTAGACACCATTAGAAGATGTTTCATGCTAAATATCTTAGCTCTAGCTCTTTAGGTTCTTTTAAAGAAGATTTTTTTAAGTTTTTACTATATACATAAAGGGAAAATTAATGACCCCCTGGGGCGGGGCCAATTTTGACCCCAGGGCTTTTATTTGAACAAACTTGGTAGACACTCACTAGAAGATCTTTCATGCCAAATATCTAAGCTCTAGCTCTTTGGGTTTTTTAGAAGAAGATATTTAAAGTTTTTTCTTTTGGTTGCCATGGCAACCAGAGTTCTGCATGGAATTAAATTCTTTGAACAACTTTGTTAAGGCTTCACACAAGGAACATCCCTGTTAAGTTTCATTATGATCTGCCTTATGGTTTCAGAGGAGATGTCGTTTTAAAAGTGTGAACGGACAGCGGACGACGTACGACGTATACGACGGACGAAGAGTGATCCTAATAGCTCACCCTGAGCATATGCTCAGGTGAACTAAAAATAACAGCTTGCTATGAAAAGGTTGATGGCTGCTATAAAGTCACTTACTTGCTATGAAAACTAAGCTTTAGCTCTTGTACATTTGAAGAAGAATTTGTTTTTCTGTAATGCATACATGTAAATAAGTCTGTGTAAAATGAGTCGCCCTAGGACAGGACAATTGTTCATCCAAGTTTTTGTCTTCTGGTTGCCATGGAAACCAGAAATTTTTAAAGAGCTTCATGCCAGGAACATTCCTGCTCAGTTTTAGCAATATTGGCCTATTGGTAAAGAAGATGTTGCTTTCAGAAAAAGTTTGACGCCATTAAAGACGCATGGCGGATTCAGAGTGATCCAAAAAGCTCACCTTTGAGCACTTTGTGCTCAGGTGAGCTAATAAAAACCAGAAAAGATTCAAAAAGACAAAAATACATTTGAGTGTTATTACCTTATTTCTGACTTCATCACTAGCACTAGTTTCAATGAATTGTGTTATAGTAGCCTTTACCTGGGAATAAAAAAAAATGGCATTTATACATTTACATCTAGCCTGCAAATAATTGTTAAAATAGACAATAAAATGCTAATTTATGTGTTTATAACTATGTAAAAAGATCAGTATATTGGCATTTGACCAAAACAAATGGTGACTGAAATGGTTTCAGTAAAAAATAATGTTATATTTTGCCACAATTGTTTTTAGTTATATAATCTATTTGATCCTAAAATTGATCCTCGCTTTGATCCATTTACTTTTGTATTTGTTTTGTTATTTGTTGATTTTATCCTAAAACAGGTTGGTTTCTTTGCAAATATGCAATTATTTATATTTCGAATATTTACCATTTAATTCTAGCATAATACGATCAGTTTTAGTTTTATAAAACAATGAAAATAAAATCAGGATCAACTGATCCTGATCTTTTATTTATGAACGCGGGGCCTGATGCTCAAATGAGGATCATCAATAATCCTAAGTTTGAAAAGCATATCTTACTACGATATGACTATTCATGTAAAAGGAAGGAAAGTTACAAATTTAAATAAGTTTTGATCAATAAAAATATAATTATGTTTTATTTCTTAAACTGATTTCAATGTATACAGATCTTTTTGTATGAATGTCACAAATTGTTGGATGATTAAAACAATATATGTTGTAAGGAAACTAAGAAACGTGTATATTATTAGTTATAAAGATCGTTGACGGGTTATACTGCCCTATATAAACGGCTATCTGTAAATATAATCCGAGCAACTAGGCGAGGGTTATATTGCAAACAACCGTTTATATAGGGCCATATATAACCTGACAACAATCTTTCTAACGAATTTATAATACCGCAAGCATCATTTTTTAGAGAAAAAAGTAAGATTTCGTCATGAATTGACAGTAGACGTGTTTATAAAACTATAAAAACGTCACGATTATTCAATGAAAAACGACGTTACAAACGTGCAGTATTATATAATTTCAGTTAACTGCATGTAAGTAACATTTTTCATTTTAACATACAGGGTCTTCAACTGACTGATTTACTATATTAGCATAGACATTTAATAAGCATGTAATTGATTGACAATTAGTTAACAAAAATGACAATTTTAAGTTGAATATATATACTTGTTGTGTAAGTTTCCTTTGATTTTGTGGGTACAAATATGAGCTAGTGATTTCCCTATGAACAGCAAGCTGTAAAAATGTCTCAGCTCTTCTTCCTGCAGTATGAAGTTCCTAGAAAATAAAAAAAATTCATCTTATTGATAGTCCAGCTAAATGTATACCATGATTAAAGTGATGATAAGTTTATAAATATATCGCAATATAAAGCAAAACCTTCGGTTCTTCCTAAAGCTGCGAAGCATTGAGTATTTAGATTATATTCTTAGAGTCTCATTATAAGTGCCCCTCTGATAAATATTCAATGTATACATAATACTTAATGTGCACTTTTTTACATTAATTTAAGGAAAGGTAAATATATACAAAACACTTACATTTACTTCGATTACGAAATAGGAGAATAATAAATTTACCTGCATAATTTCCTCTAGGTGTTCTATACTCTCTCCGATAACTACTTTTGTTAGAGCTTCTCTCACTTGCCTGTAACTTTCACCACACACAATATATCTATCTGATACCTCAACTACCTACAACAACACAACCACAGCATAAAAACACATCAAAATAATTTACACTAAACCACATTCATTGTCATTATTTTCTTTGTATCATACATGATAATTATAATTATGGTCTATTTCATGTATTCAAGGTTTGGGAAGACAATGGTTTCATCCATAGTAAAAGTAGATCAGTTATCAGAACAAGTTTAACTCTTTAAACAACGAGAGGACTTTTTGTAGTTGTGGAATATTTGTTTGATTCGAAAATGTTTAATAAATAGGCAGAATAGTCTTGTTATCGTCTTTTTTCGCAGTTTCCATAAAATCAAAATTGGAAAAATGGGAAGGGTTGGGTACAAATTCCTGGGGCATATTATATACCCCGGGAACTAACGGGGTCCCGGCAAAAATTTTTGGGGTTTCTGAAAAAAAAGCGGGAAAAGAACTGGGTGAAAGGGCCCAAATTTTAACGGCTAAATTTTTATTAAAATATTGTTTATGTCTTAAAGTATTTTAATTTTTTTGTTGTTTTTTTTAAACGATTTATGTGTTCAAATAAAAAGATTGTTTAAGGTTCCTTGATCTAAACTGTTTTAAAAAAAAATTTTAAAATTTGGGTTTTAATTTTTTCAAACAAAAATTTAAATTTAAATTTGATAAAGTAAAAAGGGAAAAAACCCCCACTGTGGGGTTGGTGGGCCTTTCAATAACTAATTTCATTTTTTTTTCAAGTCGCGAAAAATTTTTGAATGTTAACAAAATTTTCGGGGGCGAAATGTTCTACAAATTTTTTAAAAAGGATATTGGGGTATTTTTATTATTTAAAAACAAAAATTTGAAAAAGAGTTACCAAATCCCCCCCGGGGGAAATTTTTAGAAAATAAAAAAAGGGGCATTTTTAAAAAATTGAAGTATGGATTAGGCCCTTTGCCCTTTGATCAATGTTTGTTTTGCAAATGAACAATTTTTTTAAAGAAATTTGTAAATTAAAGGGTTTTTTAAAATTTCATGTTCCTTTGCCTTTGTGTGTTGATTGGAGGGTGGGGGTGAAAAGGTTTTTGTTTTTGAATATGTTTTATTATACTTTTTGGTCCCAAAGTATTTTAAAAATTTCCCTTCTTGGAGTTTTAGCTCGGCCCAAAAAATTTTTCCCCTATAAAGCTATGTAATTTTTTTTGCCTTTTGTGTGATTGGGGGGAAAGGGCCATTTTTTGCGCCCGGGAATCTCTTATTTTTTGTGTTTTGTGCCAAAGTTTTTTTTAAAATTTCTTGTCTAGGGAAAATTTTTTGGGAAATGGACACAAAAAAACCCCTTTTTAAAACCTTTGTAAATTTTTTGCCCTTCTGGTGTGACCTTGCCCTTGGAGGGGGGCCCCACGTGTTTGGGGTATTTTTTCTTGGGTTGACTTTTGTGTATTTTTAAAACCCCCTTAAAATTTTGGGAAAAATTTAAATGGACGGGAAAAACAAAATATCCCTTAAAAAAAAGACTCTTTTAAACCTTTGCCCTTTCTAAGTGTGCCCTTAAACTTGGGGTAGGGGTGAGGGTTTTTACACCTGTTTAAAATTGTCTTATTTTGCAAACCTTTTTGGCCCTAGTTATTTAAAAACCCCAAGAAGTTCTGATCGACAAAAAATATCCCTTAAAAGAAACTAAAATAATCAATTTAACCTCAAAAGGTGTGCCCCTTAATTGGGAGGTGGGGGTTTCGGTGGGCATAACCGTTCTTATTTTATTTTGCTATTTGGGGCAATTTCCCAACCCCTTTGATCTTAAAAAATTTTAGTCCCGGCCCCAAAAAATATCCCCCTGTAACAGACTATGTTAATCTTTTCCCCAAGTGTGACTTGCCTTGGGAGGTGGTGCCCCGGTTGTTGCAATTACCCCTTTTTTATAAAAATTGTGGCAGTTTTACAACCCTTCAAAAAAAAAGTTAGGGACGGACCAAATTTAATCGAAATTTGACTTGAATGAGCAATGCGGCTTGACCCTGAAGAAGGGGTTGGTTGTTGCAGCATGACCAATCGTCTTATTATAACAAACATTTGTGTCAAGTTATTTCAGATTCCTTTGATAAATGACAAAGTTATGGACCGGACACGAAAGTGTGACGGATGGATGGACGTACTAACAAAATGGTACTTATGTGACTTTGATCTTTTTGGCCGTTTTTAGTCACACAAGGCTTAAAAAAGACACAAGTAAAAACGGAATGAATAGGATCAAAGAGAATTTACTGTTACCAGTTGTTCTCCAAGTCACACAAGTATCTCTGGGTTCGTACGGACAGACAGATAGACGGAGCCTATTACTATATCCCCCTTTTTTCTTTGAAAAGGCGGGGGACAATTAAATGAAATAAATCAAAGTTTCAAAATTTACAAACAAGTAACATACTTGATCTCGGTTTAAATCCTTCATTCTGATCCACCTTAAAAATGTTGCATGGCTACGGCATATTGCCTGATACACATCTACACCGTAAAATCGACACAGGTGCTTCACCAGGTAAATTCTGTTAATGAAAGACAATGAGTTCCGAGAATTTTATATTTCCAGCCACAGTATGGTTATAAACAATTTATAAAATATCATGCCCACGCCTCACTGATTTAAAAATTTGGTTCATAATAAAAATAATTGTATTTAAATTTTTTTGCGTTTCAAAAAATTGTTTTGTTTTTTCCCGTTTTTTAAAAAATATTTTCGAATTGAAATACGCCCAAGTATTAAATAATATTAAATTAAAAAACAAATGTATTTTTTTACTTAAAAGTTTTTTAGCCCCTTATGGCATTCTTACAGCTGTTCACGATGTCTGTGGGAATGTTTTTGGGTCCCTCGTGTATCTATTTTCTGTTTGTGTTTAAAAGCAAAAACATAAACATTAATAAAAAAGCCTTTTTAACTTAACAATACGGTTACAAAATAAGACAATACTGAAATACCAACATTTACTCCCATTTATTTTTCTACCTTGTCTTTTAAAATTTTATCTTAACGTTTTCCCTTTTATTTTCTCTTTTTATTTTTTTGTTCTGTTCTTATGCAAATATGCTATATATTGGGCTGCAACGGGACCCTTCAAATTGGAAACCCCAAAAATTCCCCACTTTGATTCATTAATTTTAATTCTGCCTAGTTGAGTTTTTTGATGCATACTTCCCCTGTCTTCCCCAGCATGATTTGCTTTTGTGGGCTTTCCCTATAAAAATGTATTAATTTTTTTATATTTAAAAAAAAATTTAAAAAACAGAGATATCACTAGGCATCATCCCCCCAACAGAACTTTTTGAAATAATTGGTCTTAAAAAAAGTTTAAAATAAACCTTACTAAAAAATAAGTTTGAATTTTAAAAAAATAATTTAAATTTTGAACCCAAAAAGCAAAAAACCCGTTTTTATTTCTTCTCTCTGTTTTGTAAGAAACCTTTTTTTATTTTAAAAAAACAGTCCCCCTTGACCCGGGGGGTAAAAATGTGACAAACCGGGGTTTTAATAATTTGCTTATACAAAAGCAATTTATTTTTGGGAAAAAACTATCCCTACAGGTTAGCCCAGCAACTTTAAAGGGCCTTGGGCTATTCACTAAAAGTTTCAATTTTTTCATTATTTTTTGAAAATTTTTGTAAATTCTTTAAAATGTCACAGGAAAAAGTTTGTAAAGAAAGACAAACGACGGGCTGAAAGCACTTAAAATTAAAATTTGAAAATCCCTGTTACCCCAAAAAATAACATTATTAAAAGCAAACTTCTTAAAGAGGAGATAACTCTTGAAATAAAGACAGTGTGGCCATACCACGTGACATTGACGTCATTTTCGGCATCATTTCCAAGACAAATTACGCTCGATTCGGAAAAGAAAATAGCCGTAAATATTTTATTTCTGTACCAATTTCTTTGAGATATGCACCAGTCTACGGGGAAAAATATAAGCTTTCCACAGAATATTGGATCTTTGTCAGTTTATAAGCCGTTTTATCAAACACTTTGCATAACCTTGGAAGTTGCTTGTATTAGAGCGGGCTTCAGTTGCAAGCTATTTCGTTTTCTAGCGTTATCTGGTCTACGTCATGATTAAAAAGTCAGGTTTACATCAACCGGGAGTACGGAAGGCAAAACTGTACCTAAATATGTTCATATTTTTATTTTGAATGACATAAATCTTAAATTTTTCTTCAATTGTCAATTTTGGCACCAGTTCCAAGTCGAAAAAAAAAGGACTACAGTTTAAAGCAGATTTTAGAATCCGTTCCAAATGTAAAGCAACATGCCTACCGTTCTCTTTCTAAAATTTAGTTTTTCATTGTTGATCTTTCACAGAGAGATGGTGAAAAAACTGATTGTTCCTAAAAGCAATAACACTTACTTGTATCGCAAAAGTACACGTCAAATCACGTAGATTTAGTCCTGTCGGAAAATAATATTTTGGTTTCGTTTTGAAGATGTTTAAAGTATTGCTCATCTTATCCTATGTAGTAAAATGTGTTTTATTCTATTTCTCAATGGCGAAATTGATAAGAAATGTATGTGCTCTCAGTGAGAGAAAGAGTTAAAATAATAAAAAAAGAAACACTTTTGTATGCTATGGAAAGGGTTACACTTTAGTTAACGCGAGTGTTGTAAAGCTTAAGATATTTTTTCAGTTTATTTTTGTAAAGAGTAACTGACAAACACTGACACTCGTGAATGTGACGAATAGGTTCTTCTGTCTTCAAAAGAGAGACTTTTAAAAAGTATGTATTTTTCTGGAATTGTTGTATAATAAATTTCTAGAGTTTGATAAACGAAATCACAATTTGAACTTGGAAGTGATTCTCTATTTATAAAAAAGACCTAAAATAGCCATGAATAAGAACGAGAATGGACGCCATGTGGAGTAAACAAAGTAGAAAATAGTAAACAGATAAATGATTTTACAAACCAACAGCCATCGATCACAGTCAAATTTCTTGAAACAAAACATTCAAAAAGACGGAAATAACAATGATTATCAATAATTATTTAAATTTACATTAACATCTGTAATTAGCAACATCGGCAAGATCTACGACTGGGGTCCATATGCCACTGATGCGTCCATTGAATAATTGATAGCTAACATAAGCTTAGTAAAATTACGATTACATTTGAAGAGTATATTCAATTTTTATCCTTCAACTGTCAAATGACTTACTTCTTTATTTACATATTTGATAATTCACTTATTTAGTATATGCGTCATGTTTGTCATTTTTTAGATTTTAATGTTTGGTCCTTTTTTAAATCTTAAAATGCCACAAAAAGCCTGTTGAGGACATCTGCAGGTCATGCCGTGTGCAATAATCCATGCATTTACAGCCAATGACTACATCGATAAGAAATAGTCCCAAATAGCCCTATCGTTTTTATTCAGTTGAAAGAGACATTATTGTTAAAAAGTTCTCCTCGATTTAAATGTTTTCAAACCATAAATATTCCGTTCCCTTCCTCTCTTTACAATGCATATTGGTGAGCTCTCTGATAAAGCTGAGTTGACTGATATAATTAACTAAATTTGTCAGATATGCAGTTTATCAACAGAAATAAATGCAAATACAAAATAGATAGTGTTTAAAAGTGTGTTTAATAGTGTTCTTAAGTGAACGAAGTTATATCCAGTTCACGAAAAACGGTTACCGTGGGTATGAAAACAGGATGTAAAAATATTTTTTATCAACGAGTGCCACTGTGTTACAAAGCTGAATCTATCATACCAAAACATTGCTACAGGTTCTTTATATATATGTGTGGTTATACGTATAAATAACTCTTTACAAAAGAAAAACCTTTGACTTTAAATTGCCGCGTTGAGGCGTAACCCTTTTCACAGCATACAAATCGAAGTGATCCTGAATGTGCACGTTCATTGGACAGGCTAGCTAAGTCAATCCGAGCCTGCAACATTTTCAATTTTGCCGTTTTGGGCAATATTTAGGGTTTCTGTTTTCAATTCCGCGTTTAATATTGCTACATGACACAAATAGATTTTTCATAATCACTACCGTGAAAGAACAATGATTAAAGAGCAAATCAATTTCTTTACAAATGCAGACAACAAGTTTACGACTTTTAAAATCACTTATAGCGCAGCGAGAAAAAATTATTTAGATATTCATTTGTGTTTATGTAAATCGTATAGTAAATAAAATGTTTTTCATGGTTAACATAATTATAGAAAGAGAACGAAAGGCATGTTGCTTTGCATTTGGAACGGATTCTAAAATCTGCTTTAAACTGTAGTCCTATTTTTTCGACTTGGAACTGGTGCCAGAATTGACAATTGAAGAAAAATTTAAGATTTATGTCATTCATAATAAAAATATGAACATATTTAGGTACAGTTTTGCCTTCCGTACTCCCGGTTGATGTAAACCTGACTTTTTAATCATGACGTAGACCAGATAACGCCAGAAAACGAAATAGCTTGCAACTGAAGCCCGCTCTAATACAAGCAACTTCCAAGGTTATGCAAAGTGTTTGATAAAACGGCTTATAAACTGACGAAGAGCCAATATTCTGTGGAAAGCTTATATTTTTCCCCGTAGACTGGTGCATATCCCAAAGAAATTGGTACAGAAGTAAAATATTTACGGCTATTTTCTTTTCCGAATCGAGCAACATTTGTCTTGGAAATGATGCCGAAAATGACGTCAATGTCACGTGGTATGGCCACACTGAAAGATGCAATTTCATAAAAAAATTTCAGGTCTTTTTGTTTTATCACAAATATTGTTATATTTGCCATGTTTTAAGCCTATTTGTTGACATGGTAACCAATTTTTTCAAAATAGGAAAAAAAGAGAAGACATGCATAATCTCCAGACTGCCATCTACACATATGTCATATTTCATAAAAATATTTCGAGTAAATTTTGAGTATCACTGGATTCAGTTCATGTGTAAAATTTGTCATATTTTCAGTCTATTTGATGCCATGGCAACCAGAATTTTCAACATAGGAAGAAAAGAAAAAGACATGCATATAATCTCCAGACTGCCATCTGTACTTTTTGCGCTATCACTGGATCCAGTTTATGTGTAAAATTTACCATATTTTCAGTCTACTTGTTGCCATAGCAGAATTTTCAACATAGGAAGAAAAGAAAAAGACGTGCATGATCTCCAGACTGCAATCTACCCATATATCAAGTTTCATTGCCCCTTATTCTATTGTTACGGAATGAACTCTATTGTTCCCTTTTGTTTTGTTTACTGTTAGATGGCCCCCTAACCCTATTTGGTTGCTCGGACGGACAGACGGACGGACGTCTGACCGATTAAGAAAAAAGTGCCATTTCTATTGTTATTTTCTTTTGTTTAATAGAGGGCCATGACCCCTTATTCTATTGTTACGGAATGAATTCTATTGTTCTCTTTTGTTCTGTTTACAGTTAGATGGCCCCCTATCCCTATTTCAGTAGTGCAGACAGACGGACGGACGGACGGTCGAACGGAGGGTAAACCTAAAGTCCCCTCCGGTTAACCGGTAGGGGTCTAAAAATTGATTACAATACCCCATTCCTAACTCTAGTTATTGTCCAGAAAGCCTTTTTTGTTGAACTTATCTTGTCCCCAGGATTTCTAAATGCAATACCATCCGGATATTTATATAAGCTTACTATATACCGAGTTTGATTACAATATCTCAATCCTTTCTCTAAGTTTTGTGCGGAAAACATTTTTAGTAACAGTGATCTTGACCTTGACCCAAGGGAGTCCATATGCAATACAGACATAAGCATATAAGCTTGCTATAAGCCAACTTTGATTATAATATCTCTTTCTTATTTTCATCATAAGATCTACATAAAAGAAATAAGAAGATCTGAACTTCAGATTGATGAGAAAAGTAAACCTTCACCTCACTTTTAGTAAAGGCTGTTACTCATACTACATACAGAATGAGTTAACATCGTTTCACGCCAATGCCTTAAAATTCAACTTTTCGTATAAAGTCTAGGTATAAAATGAAAGCTAAACATAAATCTTACCTCTAGGCACTGTATGACAAGCAGGCAAAGTTCAACATAATGCTGCTCCTGGTCCGGTGAATCCTGTCGAATGAATGCTGCCGCCTCTCTTAAATATCCCTCCAAGTTTTCAGTAACATTTTCCTCGCTAAATATTTAACAAAAGTAAGAAAATATGACATAAATTAAATATAACAAAATTATGATAACAAAATCACACATTGAATGGTTGAATTACAGTATAAAAGAGATAACAAGAGCCACCGCCGGGCAGGGGCAACGCTCGACTTTTTACTTTTTCTAAACGCAAACATAGAAAGGTTTGAACATATCTTAACGTTTCCTTTTTATAAATTTAGTTGGTCTGTCTTGTCACATTAGTTTTGTTTATCTATTTTGTATATATATATGAATAGAAACACGCAATTCAATAAAAAGAAACACGCAATTTCTAAAAATAGAAACATTACGCAATTTCTAAAAATAGAAACATTACGCAATTTCTAAAAATAGCAACATTACGCAATTTCTAAAAATAGAAACATTATGCAATTTCTAAAAATAGAAACATTACGCAATATCTAAAAATAGAAACATCAATTTCTAAAAATAGAAACATTTCGCAATTTCTAAAAATAGAAACATTACGCAATTTCTAAAAATAGAAACATTATGCAATTTCTAAAAAAAGAAACATTATCCAATTTCTAAAAATAGAAACATTACGCAATTTCTAAAAATAGAAACATTACGCAATTTCTAAAAATAGAAACATTACGCAATTTCTAAAAATAGAAACATTACGCAATTTTTTATGCAATTTCTAAAAATAGAAACATCAATTTTTTATAAATAGAAACATTACGCAATTTCTAAAAATAGAAACATTACGCAAATTCTAAAAATAGAAACATTACGCAATTTCTAAAAATAGAAACATTACGCAATTACTATAAACAGGAACATTACGCAATTACTAAAAATAGAAACATTACGCTAAAAATAGAAACATTACGCAATTTCTAAAAATAGAAACATTACGCAATTTCTAAAAATAGAAACATTACGCAATTACTAAAAATAGAAACATTACGCAATTACTAAAAATAGAAACATTACGCAATTTCTAAAAATAGAAACATTACGCAATTACTAAAAAAAGAAACATTACGCAATTTCTAAAAATAGAAACATTACGCAATTTCTAAAAATAGAAACATCAATTTCTCAAAATAGAAACATTACGCAATTTCTAAAAATAGAAAAATTACGCAATTACTAAGAATAGAAACATTACGCAATTACTAAGAATAGAAACATTACGCAATTACTAAGAATAGAAACATTACGCAATTCTATAAATAGAATGTTGTTGTTGTTGTTGTTGTTGATGATGATGATGATGATAGATCTGTTCTGTTATGATATGAAGTTGATCCCTTCAATAATAGCAAAGATACAGTCAGTTACCGCCAAAACAATGAAAATTTCAATAATTTGACCTTCAAAGACAATGTCATTAATGAGTGAAGGTCAATGTCTTTCGGTATATTTTTAACAGTTATCTCTGAAGATTATTATGTTCAAGTTTCAAGACAATCCATTGAAAAATAACAAAGTTACAGCCAATAATAGCCAAAAAAATGAATATTTCAATAATTTGACCTTCAAAGTCAAGGTCATTTATGAGTGAAGGTCAAGGTCTGTCTAGTTATTTTTAAGGGATATCCCTGAAGATAATTATGTTCAAGTTTGAAGACAATCCATTCAAAAATAACAAAGTTACAGCCAATAATTGCCAAAAAAATGAAAATTTCAATAATTTGACCTTCAAAGTCAAGGTCATTTATGTGTGAAGGTCAAGGTCGGGCTAAATATTTTTAAGGGATATCCTTGAAAATTATTATGTTCAAGTTTGAAGACAATCCATTCAAAAATAACAAAGTTACAGCCAATAACAGTATGAACAAGCAAAAATTGGACTTTTAACCTTGAAGGTCAAGGTCATTTATGGATGAAGGTCAAGGTTAGTGTGGTCTACTGAAAGGTCTTGTCCCAAGGGATGTTGTGGCCAAGTATGAAGACAATACACCAAGAAATAAAAAAGTTATGATCCAGGTACAAGTTTGCGGACGGGAACGGCAACGGCAACGCCGACCCGACTGTAACAATACCTCTACTGTTTTTTTTCAAAAAAAAAAAAAAGTCGAGCTAAAAAACTACAAAAACAAATAAAACAAAACAACGTAATTAAACAGTGTATGGCCTTAGTGAAATATATTTCAATATTATATCACTGGTCAAGTCCGGAAGTTTATACATACAATTTTGGCGCAGAATCTAGTAACATACTAAATACATGTACCAATCAGTCATAAACTTAATTAGACAAATATGTGAATTTCAATCTATTTGTATATTTAACAATTAGTAATAAACAAGCAATTATCATAGTATTGCAAGCAATCCATAAGTCCCCTACCGGTTAGAACCCCATCAACATTCTGAAGGGTCATTGGTGTTATGTATGCAACATATTACATGTATATAATTTATATCTGACCAGTTGGTATTTCCAATATTATGATTGTTCTATTTTTAGAACATGGACTACATGTATGTACTAGAACTTTCTTAACTGTTGTAGAAAATGCCAGATTATGATTCATGCATTATATTTAGATAGAAATTTTCGGAATGTTCTTTATTGTTGAAATTGCTAGATTATGAGAACATAATAGACTTTTCTGGAATGTTCCTAGTTTATATATATATATTACGGGATATTTTTCATTTCTTTTACCTTTTAAGTCATCAGTGATCTTTTAAGTCATCAGTTACTTTTTAAGTCATCAATATATTTGGAGTATTATTCAACTTGGATATTAAGTGAATTATTGGAACCCGTTCGTGCCTGAATAATGCACGGAAGGGCACCTGAGGTCTTCCTCCACCAGTAAAGCTGGAACGTCGCAATATGACTTATACTGTGTCGATGTGACGTAAAACCCAAAAACAAACAAACAAACAAGAATTATTGGAGCTTGGATTTTATAATAAATTATTCTTGTCGATTTTATTGTGGGAATTTATTCTAAAGTGTTCTTGGATTTAACTTGGATTTAACTGTGCTATTCAAAAAGGATCATTCCAGGATCAGACTAGAAATTTAAGATTTTATTTTTATTTGGACTTCAGGTATTTGTAAACATAATTTGTTATTTTATTTTTTCTTTAATATTTTTTCTGAAATAAATTTGTTATTGTTACAAGTTTGTTGCTGGCTTTTCTTTCTCGTTACGCCTGGCTCGTAACAGAAATTGGGGGCTCGTCCGGGATTGAATATTTCTTTTTGGCTACATTATTGGAAATTATTACCGTTTATTTTACATTTTATTATTACCGTATTTATTCATCTGAGTTGATATCATAGTTGTTCTATTAAGTGTGCCTTTCAATTCTGATTTTTTTTTTAAACACACCATATTTAAGTTTAAAACCAGCAGCAAGCAGTCATGTCTTTTGATTTAGAAAAGTTTGTAGCTGAACCTTCCCAGGATGTATTAGATTTGGCTAAGAAAACTGATTTGCTTGATCTTGCAAAAAAGTTTAATTTATCAGAAATTAAATCTTCAATGCGTAAACAAGAAATTAAAAATCTTCTGATTCATTATTTTGCGGATGAAGATATTTTTGGACAAGATGCACATTCTCACATTGTTGAAAAACACTCTGAAATTTCTGAAATAAAAATAAAAGAGCTTGAACTTTAATTTAAATTTGAACTAGAGAAAATGCAGCTAGAAAAAGAAAGGGAAGAAAGACAGTTAGAAAAAGAAAGGGAAAAAAGACTGTTAGAAAAAGAAAGGGAAGAAAAAGAAAGGGAAAGACAGTTTGAAAAAGAAAGGGAAGAGAGAAAATTAGAAAAAGAAAGGGAAGAGAGAAAATTAGAAAAAGAAAGAGAAGAGAGAGTATTTCAGTTGTGAATGAGAGAATTTGAAATCAAAGAGAGAGCAAATCAGTTTGAACAGAGAATAAATTCAAAATTTGATGTCACTAAAAATATTAGGCTTGTTCCACCTTTTCAAGAAAAAGAAGTTGATAAGTATTTTCTTCATTTTGAAAAGGTTGCTGAAAATTTAAAATGGCCAAGAGAGCACTGAACATTACTTTTACAGAGCGTCTTAATTGGTAAAGCTCGTGAAATCTATACACAACTTACTGTTGAACAAAGCTCTAATTATGATAATGTAAAAGAATTAATTCTGAAAGGTTATGAGTTAGTACCAGAGGCCTACAGGCAAAAATTCAGAAATTCTAAGAAAGAAATTGGTCAAACCCATGTCGAATTTGCAAGAGAAAAAGAACAACTTTTTGATCGATGGTGTCTATCTAAGAAAATTAATAAAAATCATGAAAAGCTCAGACAGCTCATGTTGGTTGAAGAGTTTAAACGTTGTATTCACTCTGATGTTAAATCTTTCTTAGATGAAAAACAGGTAGAAACTTTAGAAGAAGCTGCCCGTCTAGCTGATGATTATTCTTCAACCCACAAAGTCTCATTTATAAATAAAGGGAAGTCCACACCCTCACATTTTAATTCCAAGTTCAGTTCTGGTAATTTATCTGGCTCATCTAGTCAGTCAAATACTCCCAAACCAAAGTCATCTGATGAACATAAAGGTCATAATCCCTTATCTCGTCCTACATGCAATTATTGCAAGAAAACTGGACATCTTATTTCTGATTGCTTTACCTTGAAAAGGAGGCAACAGCAACGTGATGAGGCCAAACCCACAAGTCTTACCACTTCAAGGTCTGAACCTCAGTCTTGTATTGATAACAATGCAATTTTGAAGGTCAAAGAACCCAAGTCTGTATCTATAATGGAGATTTATGAACCATTCCTTTCGGAAGGTTCCGTGTCACTTATCGGTGTAACTTGCCCACCTACTCCTATTAAGATTTTAAGAGACACAGGAGCTTCTCAATCTCTTATTTTAGCAGATACACTGCCTTTTTCTGAGAAGACTTCTTCTGGATCTAGTGTCCTTATTCAAGGTGTAGAGTGTGGTTTTTCCAATGTCCCTCTCCATAATATTTATTTGTCCTCAGATTTGGTAACTGGGCCGGTGGCTGTAGGTATAA